CACCGCACACCGCACACCCCCTACACCACACACACACACCACCCACCACCACCCACCACAGACCACGCACCACAGCACCCACCATGCATCACACACCACACAAATTACTCTCGGACCGAGCGGAGAAATCCAGCGCGTAAGCAATTCTATAGTACGTCGGGCCCACAGCGTGAACTCACAGCGTGGGCTCACGGTTTTTCTCACGGGGTGGAGCGCAGCGTGCGTTCACAGCGTGCATTCACAGCGTGCTTTCACAGCTTGCACTCACAGCGTGATTGGCCCACGCTGCTGTGCGTGCCCGCCGTGGTGAGCCCACGCTGCGAGCCCACGCTCTGAGTCCACGCTGTGAGCCCACGCTGTGAGTCCGCGCTGCAAGCCCACGCTTCGAGCCCACGCTGTAAGACCACGCTGTGAGCCCACGCTGTGAGTGCACGCTGTGAGCGCACGCTGCGAGCGCAGGCTGTGCGAGCGCGCTCATATCAGCTCAGCGAGCCCTCGAAGCCGTGTGCACTCACAGCGTGCACTCGCAGCGTGCACTCACAGCGTGCGCTCACCGCAGCGTGCACTCACAGCGTGCACTCACCACAGCGTGCACTCACAGCGTGCGCTCACAGCGTGTACTCACCACTGCGTGGGCTCACAGCGTGCACTCAGCGTGCGCTCACCACAGCGTGCACTCAGAGCGTGCACTCACAGCGTGCACTCAATCACTCACGGTGAAGAGCAAAGCTATTCACGGTTAGGATCTATTCTCTGCCAGGACAGCTGGTTCCACGAGAAGAAAGTGTATTGCTGCACCCAGGAGCTGCTGGGCTGCTCGTTTGACTGCAACGATTGCGGCAAAGACTTGCAGGCTGGACCCACTTGGGGTCAACAGTCTATTCTACGCATTTGATGCCTATTGGAATCCGTTCCGTCCCACCAGGAGTGTGGGTTCAAGGGCGCAAGTCGATTTGTCTTATGAGAGTCCGCGGTGAGGCGAGGATGGGCGTCGCCCAACTAGAACACCCCAGGGGGTAAGGAAGGTTTACATGCAGCAAGTTCGTGCGAACGATGAGGCGTTAGGAATACTTCTGGTTCCTAGGATGCGTGTGTGTTTGTGTGTGTGTCTGTGTGACTGTTTGACTGTGTGACCGTCTGACTTTATGACTGTGTGGCTGTGTGACTGTGTGTGTGTGTTTTGGGAGCCTATTGGGCGCTTCTGGGAGTCCTCTTAACTCCCGCAGGCTTCTAAGAATCCTCTTCGAAACATTGGGGGAGTCTTCTTGGGGGGCAGTCTATTGTGGACCTCTTGGGGTACCGATGCCAGTCTTGGGGCGCTTGCCCAAATATGTTCCTCGGCTTCGTTTCCGCACGCGCCTTTCGGTCCGTTGTGCAGCACGGTTAAGGAGATCCCCAAGAGGGCACCAAGACGGCCTAAGATAGACCCCAACGGACCCCAACATGCGCCAAGATGGCCCACGAGGCCGCACGTTGCGCCCTAGAGCCTCCCCACAACGCCTCCGTTGCCATTTTAGTTCAAGCCAGCTGGGCCCGAAGTCCAAATCGTATACATTTGAGGCCTATCCCCCATCGACATCATAACACACGCCTTGACACCTCCTTTCAGCCGATACCGAACAACGTTGTTTGCGCTTCTTCGAACGCCTCGATGTCTCGAGACGCGTCCTCCATGGCAAGGGCAGGCGCACCCGGTGATGTACCCGCGCAAGGCGATTGCATCGATTCGCCGCGCTTGCCTTCTAGTGCATCGGTCAGAAAGGAAGTGCGGGACGGCGAGGATGCCGGGAATGCTGCGAAGCCGTCCAGCGGAGCCATGTATCCCATGCAGGTGCAGATTTTGAAGCTGGATGTAGCGTTCTTGGCTCAGAAGTCGGGCAGTCTGCGCACGTCCTTGAACGCGAAGGCGGCAGCTGTTTTCCCGAGAGTGGTGTGTGCTCAAATGGGCTCGAGCGCCGACCAGCGGACCACTGTAATGATGCGCAAGTGAATTCGATGACTCATCAGCACGCAGTGCGCTTTTGGGAAGTCTTCGACGGTTTCGCATCGTGGCCAGCACTTGGATGCCGCAATGTATGTGCAGTGAGTTGGGGAAGAAAAGTGCAGGGATTCTATTCTGGGCGAACGTTGCGCAACATCGCAACACGGCCATCATGCACAAGCACGACGTTTCAGATCACTGCGTGGCCGCTCTGTTCCACAATGGTTGGCAGATCCGCAGATCCCGCTCCCGCGCGCGACCCCGGGACTCCAGAGCGATGGCTCGAGAGCTCGACGATGTGTTCAGGGATGGCCGATGTTCGCGGCTCGTTCGGGCAGTCCGTCCGCGTTCCCACGCGCCCGAACATCTGTACGAACGAACAGGGCACGGAAAGAATGGGTACAATGCCCAACAGCGGATCTTGTTCATTTTGAACAGGACTCGCTGTCCGCGCCGCCGCGGCCTGTGTCCGTTTGAGACAGCAGGCCGCCTGCCCAACAGCGGCCGATGTTGGTTTGGGGTAGCATTGTTTGTTAGGCATTGTGCAATTTTTTTCCGTACCCATTTCGGGCGTCCAGAGAACATACAGTCGGGGCGCTGAAGAAGGAACCCTTCTCGTTGGGGAGGGGCTCCGTGTTCCTCCATTGTTGTACAGCTTGCTCGAGGTTTTTTTCCTGAGTTTTCGATGGGGAATCAACGTTTGACTTATGGACAAAAAGGGGCCCCGTTCCTTATCCAGGGCTCCTTGAGGCCAACGCCCCGAATGTACCCGGCACGCTCGACGGGTGAGCTCTTTGGGCGCCGCGTAATGGGGGGGTCATAAATGGGGGGGTGGCGAGGGTGGTCCGAAAAGGTACCCAAACGGTACCTAAACGAGCCCCCTGGGGCTCCGGAGGGGCCCGAAAGGGGCACGAAAGGGGACCTTTTCTGACCCCCCCATTTGTGACCCCCCCATTACGCGGCGCCCAAGTTCTCTTTCCCTTTTTGTCCCCCCGGCCGCCCCCGGGGGGCGCACGAGCCGCCCAGGCGCCCGCGGGGCGCTCGCGGGGCGCCGCGGGGGCTCGCCGTGGCGCTCTCGGAGGGCGCCTCGCGGCCGGCAGCCTCGGGGCACCTCGGGCCGCCCCCCCCCCAAAGGCCTCTCCGTGGGTCACCACCCACCAAACCACCCCAACCCAACCCGAAGGCTCAGATTTACCCTCGATTTCCAGTGGGGGGGGGGGTCGGGAAACATCGAAAAAACACGTGTGGAACCCTTACCCCCCCCAACCCGAAATTCGGGTCTTCGGGTTGGGTTGGGGTGGTCTGGTAGGTAGTCAGTGGGTAGCAGATCGTGGGAGCCTGGTGTGCGCTCGTCATTCCCGTCTCCGGCGTCGATCGGCGTCGATCAGCGTGTGGGGGAGTCAACGATCTAGCGCCGATCTGGAGTCGCTTAGCGTCGGTTAGCGTCGGTTGGCGTCGAACAGCGCCGATTTAGCGTCGATCAGCGTCGATTCAGCGTCGACGAGCGTCGAATCGCAGGAGCCAACAAGATGGCATGGGAGGCTCCTAGCAGTTGCCACAGACCTCTCTGGGGGCGGATTTTGAGCGAGGGAGGGCCTCGGTTGTCTCACTTGGCACGCCTCCGACTAGAGGCCATCTGGCCCTGTCGGTTGGTGCCAGGGGCGCCTTCAGGGGATTATGTTTTGTTTCATTCGTTTGAATGCACCCGTTGACATCCACCCGTTTAGATGCACCCGTTTATATTCACCCGTATTGGAGGATGGCATGTGATGGCCGATGCATCAGCCGCACATCTGTGAGCTTTGAAGGGCACTCCACTTCGTTCCAGGGGCACGGTGGCGGATCTCAGCCGCGCGAATGTCAGTTTGCGGTTAACAAAGACATGGGGTGCGCGTGCTTAAACATATGGTTCTTCTGCTCGGGCGAACCTCGAGGGGGGAGGGCGCCCGCCAAGTTGCAGCATGCGGCGGCGGCGCTGGTGATTAGCGCCGACGCCCGGCCGACTGCAGGAGGACGACAGGCGCGACGTAAGCGGCGCCGCTGCAGCGAAGGGGTACAGCAGCGCCTCCGATATAGCGGGGTGGTTGGGCCAAAATGGCTACAGACAGAAGAGAAAGAGGAGACGGGGGAAAGAGGCGCCTCGGCTTGCGGGCGGTGCCGACATGGCTACAAACAAGAAGGGGAAAAGAGGATGGGAGGGGGCGCGTAGGCCTTTCCCGCTGTAGCCGCCGACGACGACGACCACGACGACGACGACGACGACGACGATTGTGGCACGTCAGTAATCAGCCTGACAGGGGAAACAATCTCGCCTCGGATGTATACGATCCCAATAACACCTTCTATACGAAGGGCAATCGTTTTTAGGCTGCCGTACAGGGTGTACACGATCCTCTCGACGGCGCACACGACGACCCCCTGGCGCGCGCGATTCAAAGAATGCTACGCGCCCCGCGGGGTCTACTCATCAGCCCCAGGGTGGGGAGGGCTTCATTTGTGAATCACAAGTCGGGGGTTGCTAAAGGTGCCCCTGGCCCAAGGTGCCCCTAGCTTTCCGCTGAATGTTGGAGCCCCTGGGGCGCTCCGGGCCTCGTCAGGGGTGCTCCGGAGGCCTTGCGGCCTCCCCTCGGGAATCCTGGGGGCACCTTTAGCCAGGGGCACTTCCAGCAGCACCCGAACAGGCTGATAATCACAGCCACGCGTGCGTGACACGATGAACCACCGCTCTGCCAGTGACCGCGTGGTCGCGGACCTGGACCTGGCATCGCTCGAACGTGTGCATTTTTTTGTCTCGGCGAGAACCATCGAGGGCCATCCTGGACCATCGAGCAAAAAAAAAAAAAAAACACGCACGAAGCCTACAAGCGCACGGGAGATGGACGTCCGAGCGACGGCAAGTGGAGCGTGTGCGCCCGTCTGTCCAGCAGAAGTTCCCCTCCCGTGGACCCGTGGAGTCCGGGGCCCGTGGAGGGTCACCACCGCCCTCCCTCCCCCCCCCCTCTCCCCCCTCCCCCCCCCTCCTCCCACTCCTCCCACCCCCGTCCCCGTGCCCTCCAGGGGGAGCGTCTCCCTCCGCGGCGCCCGCGTCGGCGACGTCGTGCAGAAGTTCCCCTCCTCCTTGCCGACCTCCCCCTTGCCGACGGAGTCCGGGGCCCGTGGACCTGGAAGGCCCACGCCCGAGCTCCGACGGAGGCGTCGGGCGCCCCTGCTGGCGGCCAGCTCTCCGGCACTCCTGCGAAGGCGCCGGCCTGGCCGCCTCAGCTCCTCCTCCCTCCTCGTCCTCCTCGTCCCTCCTCCTCGTCCCTTCTCCTCCTCCTCCTCCCTCCTCCTCCTCCTCCTCCTCCTCCTCCTCCTTCTGCTCCTGCTCCTCCCTCCTCCTGCTCCTCCTCCTCGGCTCTCCTCCTCCTCCTCCTCTTCCTCCTCCTCCTCCTCCTGTGCGCGGGCAGGCACCCGCGCTCGAACTTCTCTGCAGACCCCATTTTCAAGAGCCCGCCAGAGAAGCTGGAGCATTACATAAAGCGCCAGCAACACGGCCAGTCACAACAGTGTGACATTGGCCCCAGGGTGGAGTGAGACTTCAGCCCCCAACCACGTGATGATCCTCCTCCTCCTCCTCCTCCTCCTCCTCCTCCTCCTCCTCCTCCTCCTCCCCCTCCTCCTCGTCCTCCTCCTCCTCCCTCCTCCTCCTCCTTCTCGTCTCCTCGTCCTCCTAGTCCCTCCTCCTCGTCCCTTCTCCTCCTCCTCCTCCTCCTCCTCCTCCTGCTCCTCCTCCTCCTCCTCCTCCTCGTCCCTCGTCCTCCCTCCTCCTCCTGCTCCTCCTCATCCCTCCTCCTCCTCCTCCTCCTCCTCCTCCTCCTCCTCCTCCTCCTCCTCTTCCTCCCTCTCCGCCCTCCGAGGCAGGCTGAAGCAGGGCATTCGTTCTCCGAAGGACGCTGCGAGGAGGCCCCGGCGACTCCATGGGCCGCAGAGCCGTGAAGAGGAAGTCTCACTGGGCCAACCCTAGGGAAACAAAAAGTGGCATAAACATAAAAATTCGGAGGTCCGCGCGGATTTCTCGGATCGGCGCTGGGGCCCCCCGGCGGCGCGGCGCTCCGGCGGCCCTCCGGCGCCGCCCCTGGCGCGCTCCGCGCGCCAGGGAGGGGGGTCCAGCGCCGATCCGAGAAATCCGCGCGGACCTCCGAGTTTTTTCGTTCATGACACTTTCTGTTCCCTTAAACCCCTTGCCACGTGAGCAAGAAGACTGCTGTAAGAAGCTCCTGCCCCTCCTTTCCTCCTTCCACGTCCGCCCTCGGTACCGCCCTCCTTTTTCCGTCGCCCTCCCCCTCCTTCGACCAGGCGGGCGCGGTCACGCATTGGAGGCAATGCTTCGAGAATTTCTCTCTCCTGTCGGCGGAGGCCCACATGGAACGGCTTGGTTCGTGCCTTCGTCGCGGACACTCGTGTGGGTAGGAGGGGGCTTCCGATGCTCTTACTTGCCTTCGCAGGGTAGGCCCAGGCCAGCCCGGGCACCAGGCTGCCTTGTAAAGACATGGTCTCCGCACATCTTCCATCTCATCCTTGTGTTAAAAGGTGGTGTGCACCTGCTGGAGGCAAACGCAGGAGGCTTGTGCACTTGAGCCCAGGATGCTTCCTCACCCCCCTCCCTCATCATTCCTTCCTTTCTCCCCCACGTGTCTCCCCCAACGCTGCTGTATTGCCAGCAGATTGCGGATAGCAGGTCTTGGTGTCGGGGTGTGCGTGGTCGATGGGGAGCTAGTTTCAAATTTTACCCGCTACCTTTATTTGGGGTCAGCACTGCCTGTATGCACGATGGGCTACATGGCGCCTGGCCAAAACCAGTGTGAATAAAAACTCTGGTTTGCAGATGATGCTTGCTTGTCGCCGGACCCACCCCAGTGAAGCTTTGAGGTTGTTCTGCTACCTCTTACGTGGGCCAGCGCTGGCTAGATGCACCATGAGATCAAGCCCACAGCGCTCGTTTCTTTGTCTAGGGCCCCTCTTTTGGTCAAGCGCCCGTTCTCGCCTCTTGGTTGGGTTTCCCTCCCTGATGCCTTCCTCACCAAAACACCTCTACATGCATCTAGTCGAGAGTTCCGGAATTCCAGTGCTCTGGCCTCCAACCCCCTCGTCATTTCTGGTTCCTCCTCCTTCCTCAATGGCAGATCACTGGGCGTCCAAATGCGCCGTCGTTGTAGATACTTTGAACCCCTCATGGCAGAGAGGTTCCTAGAGGGGGCAGCATGATGATACAATCGCCTTGCCTTGGTCTGGCGCTTCTCTTTCTGCGTCACAGTCGTAGTGCGCGCTGTGTTGCTAGTATTCTGCGTGGCTGCACCATAGATCACGGCCTTGGATTTTTAATCTGCCAGAGCGCCGTGTAGGCGCCAGGCTTGACTGACTGGCTTGCCTTGGTCAATCTCCCAGCGGCATGCGGAGGGAGGCCCGCCACCGTGTCAGCCTGGCCCCGTAGAGGGGGGACTCTTCGACGGGGGCCGCGGTTTGGGAGCGTTGGGGGAGGGTCCCAGCAGGAAAAGCATCAGCAGGATTGGTCAGACCATGCTAGGATGGTCTTTGCCTAAGTCGGGCCTGTCCCTCTACAGGGGGAATCTTAAAAAATGGTCAAAACATAATCTGGGGACTATTTTTTGAGTGTGGTTTAACCTTTTTGGGGTATTTTTTGGCTATTCTTTATTTCTCGTCCAAAATCTCCCTGTAGGGGGACAGGCCCGACGTAAGTCTATGCCAAGATTCCGTGGTGCAATCTCACCAGCCTCACGCTCCGTTGGTTGCGTTGTCGCCTCTGGTTGCGGCTGCGTGGCGCGTGTTTGGAAGAGCGCAAAGTTCCGTGTTTCGAGTGGCCGTTCGACCCATTGCCGCGTTGTAGGAACACGTGCGGGTGGCAGCTCCCACCATTTGCTTGGAGGCACCCTACGCCCTAAACTGGTCAAGCACAGCCTTCATACAACCCAAGAGGGTCCCCAAAAGAGACCACTAGATGAGACCAGAACGGCCAAACAGACTTTTGAGACACGATTAACGTATCCTGATCATGCACCGACATTCACACAAGCTTTACTCGGCGGACTAGAGACGCCCACACACACACAGACAGACAGACAGACACACACACACACACTTTGTAGTCAGCAGCGTCCCAGAGGGTCCTCAGGCGTGAGCAGCAGATGGAAGTGCTAACTGCGACCGAGCATTGGCGTGTCACACCGCAACATGAAAGCGATGGGTACACTGACACACACACACACACACACCGCGGCCCTGCGCGCAGCGACAGGGCGGAGAAAGTCGTACAGTAGCAATCGCGCGCGCGCGTCTAGGAGCGTCACACACACACGTACATGCAAACGCATACACACACCAAACACAACACAATACACAAACCACACACCACACCACACCACGTTTTTTGTCTGCGGGTCGGGAGCGGGCCCCTTCCGGTCAAGAGCTAAACGGGACGCGGGTAGCCATAATTGGGGAGACAGGGCGCGGGCGGGCGGGGCCTCAGGCGGCCAGAGGGCTCAGAAACCAGGCGGTGCCGAAGATCTCGGAAACACACCACACCACACGCACGCACTGACATACACTGTTCGGTCGTCCGCGGGCATGCGTATCGCCATGCCGTCAAGAGGTCTTACGGGAGCGCACGCGCTTGTTGGTCAAGGAAGTCTCCGGGCCCTCACAGGGCGGCGGCGTCAGTGGCCGCGCGGCAGCGGCGGGGGGGGGAGCCGGGCGCGGGGCGCGCAGCAGCGGGGCGGCGGAGCAAGGCGATCGACAGCAGGACGCCGTGGGAGAAGGAGCCCTCCAGGCTTAGGCCAACACGCGCACATAGATGTTTTGGCTTCGCAGTCGCGCGCGCAGCGACGCAGCGGAGTCGGTCAGGTAAGTGCCGAAATAGTTCAGCCGGGGCCAAAAAAGAGCGGCTGGGGACTCGCGCAGCGCCGGGCGGGAAGCACGGGGGTCGTTTTTGGGGAACCGCGCTGTGTGGGCGTCCCTCGTTGGGGCAGCTGAAAGAGGACAAGCGGGGGGACACACACACAATCACACACACACACACACACATCAGGAGGATACAACTCCTGGGAGGTTACGTTCAGCATCGGCGCTGGTATATCCGTGGTCGAAAACTGGCCGGATCCAGCATACGCTTGGTTAATTCGGTTCAATCTTGTTCAATCCAGTTGCTTTCTGAGTTTAATCCAGCCTAATCTGGCCTAGCGGCCCCTCGCTCGGGATGAATAGTTTCGAATCGTCAAATCGTTTCTGTGACGGCCTCCCGGGAGTTGCTTCCTAACTCGCAGACGCACACACACACACGCGGACACACACACACACACACATACACATTTTGTTGGCGTCGCGGCCCTGCGCGCGGCGGCAGGGCGGGGAAGGCCGTAAAGCAGTGAACGCGCGCGCGCGACCAGGAGCGCCCGAGCCCTCATCACACGCACACACGCACACGTGCACACACGTAGTTATGCGCACACAGAGCTGTATCCTCCCGCGCAATGGGACCAGTATTCCAGGCACCCGAGACGCAGGGTGGGCGCGCTGGGACGGCCGCGCTCGCACGCCCGAACAGACCAAGAGACGAGCGAATTACAGTTAATTCGGAGCACGTGTGGGCGAAGATGTCCAGTGCCCATACGAAACTGAAGCGCATCGCACTCACGGTGTACATCGCACGCGCGATGCACAGCTCCCACAGAACACAGATGTGGATGCACTCGCACGCACATGCAGCACATACACTCGCACGACACGCAGTGCACTATAGCATGCGATGGTACGCCGTCATGTGTTTGCTGGGGTTTCTTTGGCATTTCCATTGCCTCCCGGTTGGTTTGCAAATCACCTGCGTATGGATGCCTAGAGGTTGTTATGTCATGCCAGCCGTTGGTATTCGATGACATCCAACTCAGCCCAACGATAACCCCAAGGCCTCCACGAGACACGGAACGTCGCGTTTGTTTTCGCAACCCCGCGCATGTGCCGCGCAACCTCTGGGAACGAAGTTTCCTTGGAATTACTCTGCAGCCGCAGGGGTTTAGGCTCAGACCCCTCATCATTTTTGCCTCCACTTCCCTGTCCTCCTCCCTCGTGTTGTGGCGCCGCACGTTACGGCGCCGAGATCGCGCGGGGAGGGGGGGAGACTGGCGACTAAAGGTTTCGGACCGCGCGGGGTTGGAACGGGTGCGGAACTGAAGGAGGGAGGAAGGTAGGGATACTTGCGTCCATTTTCCCCACCCCCCTCTCTGGACGTGCGGGAATGCTGCTATGCCGCACATTAAGTTTGTGATGTTGCCTTTTATCAAGAAGCTTACGCCATTCCGCCGACCGCGAGAAGAGGCGTGGAGTACACGGCTGAGGCGTCGCGGGCTTCTTGGGCACCATGTGGGGTTTCGTGTGAGCGTCTTGGGAGCCGTTTGGGGACCTGGTGGAGCCTCTTGGAGGCAGTTTTGAAGCGTGTTTGGGGTCGCCTTTGGGCCTCTTTTGGGTCTCTGGTTATCTTTTGGGGCTTTCACTGTGCAGCTGTTTGGTTCCACGTGCTTCCTGTTCATGTCAAGGAAGGTTCAAACACCCTGTGCACCCCGCTGTCCCAATCGCAGGGTTCGTCGTAGGCTCGAAGGGCGGGGGCGGAGAGGACGTTCGAAAAGTCACGTGAGCCGCCCCTCGGCATGCAGCATGACACGTCTAGGTCAGGTGTCGCCGGTGGGCTTAGTGGGCCCCAGAAAAGGCAGGGCAGTTTGTTTTACTTTGTCCAACATTTTTTGTGTCAATGGAAGCGGCAATCAAACGGCAATCGAAAATGGTAAAAGAGCGTCTCCGGAACTGGAACCGGAACAGGAAACACCAAAACAACAGCGACGGAACCCGAAACAACAACGGCGCCAGAACCAGCAAACAAACAGCAAAACGGAACAGGTAAAAAATGCCCTGTCGTTTCCACGGCCTGTTAAGCCGGTAGGGGACGTGATTGGCCTAGCGGGCAGGCCCCCAGAACAGCAATGTCCATGTTTGCCAGCGTGGACCCCAAACAGTGAGCTATTGCGTTGTGGATGTATAGGCTATGTTGTTCGAGCTTCCTTGTGTGAGCTATGTGGCGTGAGCCATGTGTGTTGGGCAATGTGGTATAAGTTATGTGGTGTAAGCTGTGGTGTCAGCTGTGGTGCAAGTTACAGGGTGTATTGTTTGTATCAAGTCGTGAGTTGTCAACTCCACTCTTCATGCAATCATCTCACCCTCCCACCCTCTACTCATTGGGCTAAGCCCATTCGGCCACGATTGCGGCTGCCGATTGGCACTTGCCAGCGCATCTGTACGGCCATGTTGGTGTGCGAACGCCCGCTCGCAGGGCGACCAGCTGGTTTGGCACAGCTGCTGCGGCCCCGATGGCGCTTACCGATGGAAGCTTCCCAGCGCATCTCAAAGGCCGCGCTGTCGCGCGGACTCTTCAGGGTGGGTCGGTGACTCGGGCGGGCGCGGCATCATAGTGATGTCGACAACCGCGGCAACGATGATGACAGTCATTAGCTAGCGATGATGGTGGCGATGATGGCGATGACGACGGCAAGGCCAATGCCTGAGTCGATGCTAGTGACGACGATGACGATGATGATGTCCATGTGCCGGTGATGAAGGTTTTTGCTCACAGTGGCGGCAACAGCGAGGATAGACGATGACGGCGATGATGCGATGGCGCTGACGAAGGCGATGGTGAGGAAGCGCGCGCGCAGAAATTTAAGCCAAGAAGCTTGGCACACGCTTTATTGAAACACGCATACACATACATACACGGTTGTTTTCATGTGTGTTGGAAAAGTTCGATATTGGAATATGTCGAAAGCCAATGGTTCTGAACATAGTGCGACACCAGCGCGTGGCGGCGGACGCGTGTGGCTAGCATGCTACGAAATGAGGTGCATGCTAGGTCAACGCAGATGCACCCCGTGGTGAGATGAGAACGCGGGTTCTGGACGAATTTGGCAAAGCCATATGGCTCTCATTGGGGTTCAGCATGTGCGCGCGGCGTAGAACTCATACCCGCTATGCTGGCCATGGCAAATCACGTACAACATGTTGTTCGTTGTTAGGTTGAAGCGTTTGCAGCATTATTGTGCGTGCGATGGTCTCGATATGGTCGCGCGCGAGCTGACTTTTGGGATTGATGTGTTTCACACAGGTGTTTTGTAGCATAATCTTTTCGGATCAGGGATCGTGCGTGGGTCGTATCTTGTACACAGGGAGGAAGGCGGGTCGATACCGGCTTGGCTGAATAAGCGATGGGACAGGATCGCACGGGATTTGGGGGGAGGGTGGTTGAGCTTGTTCTCCTCTTGGCAAGAAAACCGATGCTGTGTGAACGACGCGGCGCAATCTACGTGGTGCAAGCGATACGGAGGAAGCCTACGCGGCGCAAGCGGTGTGGCTCCCACTGGGGCGCCCACGGCCGCCCACCAGGCGTCCCGCCCGGCGCGCGGAGCGCCCACTTTGGCGTCCACGCCGGCCCACAAGGGGACTCCTGGCCACACCAGCCCAGCACACGGGGCGCCACGACCCGAATTTCGGGTCAAATTCGTGTCTTCGGGTTGGGTTGGGGTGGTCTGGTAGCTAGTCAAGAAACCAAGGGCTCCCACGAGGGCGCGAAGTTATTCGCGCTTCGCGGTCCTCGTTCCTCCTCCTCGTCCTCCTTTTCTCCCTTCGGGGGGGCGGCGCGAGGGCGCGAAGTTGGGAGCCCTTGAGAAACGCACAGACACAACGAGTCGTCGACCCCCTGGAAAATACAGGGAACATGCGGGACGGGGGCGGGGCGACGCAGACCCCCAAAACACCTGAGAAAATCGGGGAGGGGGGAGTTTTATTCGTGTGCATGTATTTGTGTGTGCATTATTCGTGTGCATTTATTTGTACTTGTGTATTTGCATGTATTTTTGTGTGCGTTCGAAGGGCACCTTCTTGTCCGTTTGTGTGTGTGTGTCCCAGGGCCCCTTCCACGAAGCAGCCGCGCCCGCCCGCGGGGCGAAGCCCCGCCAGGCCCGCCCAGCGCGCGGGGCGCGCCCGCGGGGCGCGCCCGCGAGGCGCGCCCACGGCCGCTCCCCGGGCGAAGCCTCGCCGCGCCCGCCCCGGCGCTCGGGGCGCCCACGAGGAGCCCGCGGCCGCCCACGGGGCCGAGCCTCGCCGCGCCCGCGCGGCGCAGGGGGCGCCCACGAGGAGCGCCCACCTGGCGAGGCCTCGTCGCCCTCGTCGTCTGCGTCGTCGTCGCAGTCGTCGCCTCGTGTTCCTCGTGCCCCTTTGTGCTCCTCGCCATCCTCCTTGTCCTCCGCCTCCTCCTCCTAATCCTCCTCCTCGTCCTCCTCCTCCTCCTCCTCCTCATCCTCCTCGTCCTGCTCCTCCTCCTCCTCCTCCTCCTCCTCCTCCTCCTCCTCCTCCTCCAGCCAATTGGGCCCAAGCAGGGCAAGTTCAGGAGGGGGAAAACACACACAGACACAAGTAATCGTCGATTCCCCAGAAAATGTTGGAAGATATGGGCAGTGGGGGGAAGACAAAAACCCAGAACATATGGGAAAATACGGGGAACAGTTCTATGTGTGTATTGATTTGTGTGTCCCAGGGCCCCTTCATAAGTGAGCATCCATGAGTGCTAGCAATGCTTGGGACATTGTAGGGAACAGCACTTGGCGCGCACCTCAGGCCAGCCATCCAACATATGCCTCGGCCGTTCTGTTATCGCCACTGTGCGACACTGTAGGCGAACAAGCCGTACTTGACACTCGTTGGGGCATAATTAGTGGAACGAGAAGTGACATAAACATAAGAACTCGGAGGTCCCCGCGGATTTCTCGGATCGGCGCTGGACCCCCCTCCCTGGCGCGCGGAGCGCGCCAGGGGCGGCGCCGGAGCCGCGCCAGGGAGGGGGGCCCAGCGCCGATCCGAGAAATCCGCGCGGACCTCCGAGTTTTCATGTTTATGTCCCTTTCTGATTCCCTAATATTGTTGCCGTCTTGGGGCGGTCTTGCGGGGCGTGAGAAGCGCTAGGTGGCAAGTCTAAGTAAGAGGGTTGTTTGGGGAGAGTTGCGAGAATGAGAAAAACGCTCCCAGGATCTGTTGTACAGAAATCCAAAGAGACTGCCCGCGTGCAGTTCAACACGCCTCGACGTGTCGAACGCATGGTTCGGGATTATGGATGCAGCGCTAAAGCAAAACCATGGGCAACGAAATGGTTGCTTTCGACAAGGAAGCTTCTGGCGACAGGGAAACCAAATTGGAAGGCAGCGTTGCCAAGAGATGACGCGACACGGTCAGCATGGTTGATTCGCCGAACAAAAATCTGTATAGCAGGACAGGGAGCTGGATCAGCACACGATGACGTTCTGCGTGCGGTAATGTACAAATACCTCCCCACGGCCGGATGGTGTGTCCAGTGAGCTGACGGACCGCCCAGCAGGAATGGCTGCGAGGCGCCACGTGGCGCGTGCCCTCGGTGCCACAGGACCCGGTTTTTCACTGTCAAGCTGGGGCCGGCTAGTCCGAGACGGCCAAACCGGTTGGTTTGTACCGTTTTTCACAGCCATCTTGTGGTGCTCGGTTTTCGTTTTGGAGAGAAGGCGCCCCGCGTCCTCCTCTCTTCCTCCCCCTTCTCCCTCCTCCCACCCTTGCCTCTGCCATCCGTATGTCCTTGTTTCGGGACGCCCCTCACACGCTTCGTGGTCCCATGGGAGCTCAACCGAAAGCCCCAGCGGCACAGTCCGCATGGCATACCCGCGCCCGATTCGGCACGCCCCTCACACGTTTCGTGGCCCCGTAGGGAGCTCCACCGAAGGCGACAGTAGCACAGTCCGCCTGGCGCACCCGCGCCTGATTCGGCACACCCCTCACACGTTTCGTGGCCCTACACGGAGCTACGATGCAACCCGCATCCAACAGAGGTTCCGACGCAGGCCCTAGTGGCAGAGTCCGAATGGCGTACCCGCTCCCGATTCGGCACACCCCTCACGTGGTTCGTGGCCCTATAGTAAGCTTCGGCGCAGGCCCTATTGGCACAGCCCGCATGGCGTATTCGCATCCGATTTGGCGCACCCCTCACACGCTTCGTGGCCCTACAGAGATTTCCACCGAAGGACTGAGTGGCACAATCCACATG